GTGCCCTAACCCAGTGCGCAGAACCAAGGCTCTTCTCGTTTTCATAGCCAGAGAGCTTTCCTGTGAAGCATTCAGGGGATACAACTTGTCATCTCTCAGTGATTCTCAATGGAACGAAACATGGACTTGCCAGGACCTTGCTGCTCTCTGGATAATGAACATGGGAAGTCTTCTGTGCAACAAGTCTATTATTGCTTCAATTACAACCAGCAGAGCCTGCTTTCTCCTGGGGTACAGCAGCTAATGCTCATTGGACTCTCTTATTTCTGCTATTCATCAGCATCCAAATTCATACTGAATTTCCAGTGTGCTAAAACTTAAGGAAAAAAAGAAGGTGTCATGAGTACTGTGTTCAGATGCAGGGGAAAAAAACAAAAACAACAGAAAAAAGGCAGAGAGGAGTCCTGGATGTCTTGTGCCACTGCAAAATTCATGTTGCAGTTCAGGAGTTAACATCTAGGACCCGGTACCTAATGTGATTCACACACTGCATGCTAAACCACAGAGCAGTGTTCACCCTTTATGAAGCTGCCTTGCTAAACAGTTACAAATGCATAAGATTTCACTCACTATTGTCCCTTTTTCATTAAGAACTAAAAATGCTCATGGAATAGAGGTGTCATTCCAGCTGCCCTGTAAAGACAGCTCTCCTGGGTTTGAAAGAACTTTGCATGCTTCCAATGGTCAATGTTCTCACTTTTCCACTACCACCTTTTTACATCACAAGATACTCTTAAAATGGATATAAATCTTAATTATATAAAGTGTAATGCAGATGAAAATTGGGTACAAAGCATTTAGCTATGGTCAGCACTTGCGTTCATGTATTTGGAAACAGCATCCTTAGAAATGCAGAGATGTACAGTTCCCTCAGCACCAGGTTCCCACAAGCAGATTCTCACTGCCCTAAACACAACTCTTTTCCCCAAATTAAGCCTTTGCCTCAAGGTTCCAGTTCGATTTCATACCACACCAGCAGCTTCTCCAAAACACAGCAAAACAGCAGCCTGAGTTTCCATGTAACTATGAAACTAATAACAGAAAACTAAGACTGATTTCTTATCTCAAACTCTCTTACCGATATCCATGACGCCTGCTTAGTTGGTCTTTCCCTATACTTCAAGTCTGGAGGCTTCTTCTCCATAACTGGCAGAATTTTATTTTTTTTTTTAATGCAAACCACATCAGGTGAATTTGAATATCTTTTTAGGATTTGTAGTTCAGTGTGAAAGATATATTTGTCTCAGTGATGACTGCCAAGTGAAATGCCTTGTCATGATGTAAGTTCTGAAATTAATCACTTCTGAATTTACCTAGTTTCTTGCTTCATGTCCCAGCTGCATCCTGCACTATAAAATCTTCAGCAGTACTTTACTTAACCTTGGCGGTCACTTTCATGGGGAGGAAAAAGCAGGATAGAGAAGGAAAAACTGGAAAAACAAATATTCTCCTGAAAAGTTTCCCTATATAAAGAATTCTGGACATATAGGAGTACATTTGGCTTCTACAGCACGAAGCCAGGAAACAGGAAATGCAACTCCTGGTTTCTGTGCTATAGCTGCCTTCACACAGTGCAATCTGATTATATCCTTACCCTTTTTTATTTTTAGTCCATGCATTTCTCCACAGAAACAGTGTGAAACTGTTAAATGCTATAACGATGCATATCCTCTGAGTGGTAAAACTACAGCTGCCACAGACTCCCACTGCTAATGGCGATGATTTAACTTTTGGTTGTTTTTTTTTCCTTTTTTACTTTCTCCTCCAAGCTATCCCATTTGGCAAACTCCCTATTCTGGAAGTAGATGGAGTTGTCATCCACCAGAGCCTGGCGATGGCAAGATACCTTGCCAGAGAAACAGGTAATATATCTTTGACTATTTTCTTTCTCTCTTCTGAGCTTACATTTAATGTTCAGGTAAAAATACCTCCACAGTAAAACCAGAAACAAACCAACAGCTTGGCAAGCCTAACCACGCAGAAATCAACATCAGCGTGGCGAAAATGAAACCAGTGCCTGGGATTTGGGCTGACTTCTCCAGCCAGTACACCTTATCCACCTATCCCTGCATGACAGAAAGCACATACCTGTGGTTTCCCTAAGGCTGCCAGGGCAGTTTTCCCTAAAGCTCAACTTTGACCTGCCAGGCTAACCAGATGGATGACCAGGAGGAGGAGGTTTTGGAAGCATTGGAGATTATCACAACAGGCAGAGAATTCTGAAGCAGATTTAGGCAACAGTTCTGGGCTAGCAGAGAGATTAGAGATGTTGACATCACTTGGCATCCTTAAATACTTACATGCTGTGGAAATACACAACCAGTTAGATAAAATGATATGAGACTTAGTAATGCAAGTAATCAAAGAGAGTGGCCAGGCTTTGCTTTAGGTCAAAGAGCTGTCATTCAACACCATCTGCAAAATTGGTCTGGCTGCAGGCAGATGTGCCCATGGCATGCTGGGCATCAGCAAATTGAGGAGGGGGGCTGGGAAGCAAGTACTATCCTACTTTTTTTTTTACACTGTGAGCAAATGGATGTAGCCTGCCTTTCAAAATATCTCCCATTTTCTAACTGAAGAAGGAAGCAGAAGTTCATAGCATTATTCTTCACAACATATTTCAAGCATGTCTGCAGTACTCTGTTCTGGCCCATTTCCTTTAGCTTTGGTACAACCCACTCCTTGCAAGAGAGGAGAATGAGGAAAGCCCACCTGGTGATGAAAAACAGTGGGGAAGTCTGCCTTCCACCCAAGATTCCTCCCTCCCTGGCTCCTGTAGGGAGGCTGATCTGGAGCCAAGCTCCTTTTGCAGTCTGAAGTTCAGACTTTTTTTGATTGACTTGCACCAGTGACAATGGCTTGGGATCTGGAGCACATTCCGACCATGATGGGCTCTTCCCAGAATTAATCATGCTGAAAGCTACAGCAGGAAAAAAAGCCATGCATGGAAGGAAAAAGATATCTTTTCAACTTCATAGTGAAAACTTGCTAGTTCTGCCATTAAGGCTGCATACACATCACTAATCCTCTAAAATTAAGAAATGGCATTTTTAGGTGCCTGACACCAACAACTCATAGCTGAAGGATCACAGAACCTGAGGCCCAAGAGGAGAGGCACAGCCCTCACCTTCAAAAGCACAAAGTTTCAGTAAGGGAGATGACCTGACAGAGGTAGGGCATGCAGTCTGTGATCTGAGCCTGCACGGAGGTGAAAGCATAGGCACAGGTCTGTGAAGTGACAGCTAGGGAGAAGAAGCAGAGGCATGAAGAGAACTGCAGGAAAGCCAAGGAACTACAGGGGAGAAAAACAGATTTGTAAACAAGACAAAATTTGGTTGAAGTCCCTGATTACAATGAAAAATAAAAAGTATGTGGAATGTCATGAGAATGTTCTGAATGGGGCTGAGTGGGCAGGATATAGAGAAAGAGAAGGAAACTTTCACATGTGCGCTTTTGGAGAACGTGTTGACCAAAATGGAATACCAGGATGGGCAAAGATTAAAGGAACAGAATTTGTGCTGACCCTTGCTGAATGTCTGGTGGAAAGCAGAGATGATACAGAAACAATGTTCAGGCTGGAGGCTCAGGTAATGGATAGAACAACTCACTACCTTGGGTGGCTGTACAAGGTCAGAACTGGGAAAAAGCAAAGGTAGATAAGCTTGCAACTGGATGCAAAGAGTCAAATCCACATTGTTAGCATCAAAAAGATCTGGAGAACATGTATGTTTATGAAAATATTCACAGAGTTTACCTTTGGGGCATCAAAAATTCCTGCAGATGCTGTCTCTAACATTCCTTCATATGCTTGCTTCCCACAGGTCTGGCAGGCCAGACGCCTGTGGAACAGGCTTTAGCTGATGCCATTGTGGACACCATTGATGACTTCATGACACTGTTCCCTTGGGCAGAGAAAAACCAGGACGTGAGAGTAAGCCAATCACTAAATTAAACAAGGATAGCATGTATGCCATGATCCTGTATATGAGCATCTGCTCTGGAGACACTGATGGGTGACAGCCACTGGGTTCATCATCTCGTGGAGCTCTGTGGTTCTTTCCTTGAGGGTGATCCCACCTCCTCCTTCACCAGGTTGTTTTCACCCTTGGTAGAAACTCTGAGGCCTTCATGAGCTGCCCCTCACTAGTTCACCTTGAACCAAGGATGTGCCTACACCAAACTGCTCTTCAAAAGGGCAGAGACAGGACACTTCCACCCCAGCTGGCGCTGTAGATTTCCTCTCTCTTGTCGCAAGAAGCCTGCTCTCAAATCTTTCTGCCAACTCAATAAGATAAATAGCCCTGTCCCATCCTTTAGTGTTTCTGCATTTTGATTTCTTCTAGGTGTTCAGTAAGTATCAGTGTTCAATAACATCAGCTGCCAAGGATGACTGCTTGTCAGGAGAGCAGGCACTGCTAATTAGGGCAGGGAGTACAGCCCTCACTGCGCTTTCCAGATGTCACAACCCACTTTGGTCCTCTGCATTGCTTCTGACACCAGGCTACGGTGCCACTGCTACTTTAACACACAGTCACAGGCTTGTCCTACAGCATTTGGGATTTCTTTTGGCATCAGGCCAGTGCCTCTCACCAGAATCCCAAAAGCAAGCACACAGATCAGTTGCTGGGGGAAGAAGGCGATGGATGATTTCACTCCACCGTTACCAAGGCTCTGCACAGCTCTGACCCAAGCAGATAACCTGACCCTCCTTAGGGAAGTGGAGGTGTAACAACAGCTCTCACCATAAACTGCCAGTGCAGCCACCTTCCATTTATTCCAGATCATTATCTGAAATGCTTATTATGGTATCTTATTAGGGTATCTTATTATTAGGTAATAAGATAACCATTATTGGGGTATCTTATTGCAGAGACCGCAGAGCAAAAAATGGTGCTCCAAACCCATAATAAATAAAGAAACAATATGAAAGTGCTCTGAAATCTTGCAGGGAGAAAACCTGAAATTTGGAGGTTTAATACTTAAAAGTGTGAATTACTTACATTTCTAAGTGATTTCCTTAAGTTTCCTAGTTTGGGGAGGGTAAGCTGACTCACGAGTTTTAATCAGTTCAGAAGAGCCACAGTCCTGCTGATGTGCTGGTGCAGAGGCAGCTCTGCTGCCCTTCCATGGGGAAGCTCCTGTTGTAACTCCCGCATGTACCCGAGCACTTCTCCAAACAAGGACCCAGATCGTGTCACCAGTGATTAATTTAAACGGGAAGAGCTGGCAACCAACCCGTATGTGCCAATCCGCACGTATGCATGCTAAGTTATGTGCTGGGGCCAAGGATGGTCGGGAATCTCACTTTCCCACGCTCCCAGCATTGTCCTTCCTCCCTCTCTCGTCCCGGATCCTCTGCCACCACCTTGTGGTCGAAGTGGCGTCTCAAGGTTTCGCCAGGCCAGATTTAAGTCATTTTCACACACTTAAGCCAAAACACCTCCCCAGGCCTGACCAGTGCTCACAGGAACACACACCAGGGAATGGTGAGAGGATGTGTTATGCCATCTAGCCAGTAGCCAAGAGGAATCAAAGCAAACCGGGGGAGCAGAGCTGGAAGGTGCCTGTGGAAGCTCCCTCCGTGCCAGGCACAGCCTCCCCCTTCACCCCACATTCCCCAAAACACAGCTGGCATTGTAAAGCTTTGCACCCACCGCTGCAGAGCTCCAGGGTTGAGATGAGCAGGTTAAGCCACTCCAGAAGAGGGATCCTGGTTGTCCTCACCAGAGAAGAGGGATCCTGTGTCCTTCACAACTTGGCTGTGCACTCCCCTGCTTGGAGAATGCTGTTACCATCACGATCATACAACAGCTTGGGGTTTTCTTTGCGGGGTAAAAGGGTGGGGAGGGATCATTTACCTAAAAAAATGAAATACCACAACCCAGGGCACAGATGTGAGATTTCTGGACTGCAAACTCCCAGCTTATATTTGCAGTCACCTCATCCAGTTACTAAGCTCTTAACAAAGCAGAAAATTATGTCAAATCTTCGATCATGCCTATAGAAACAGTGATTTGATTTCAGCCTGCATTAAGGTTTCTGCCTCATTTAATTTTCTTATTTCCCATTAACCTCAGTCAAAGCTGTAGAAATAATTCCATTCCTGTACACCTGTTCTTCTTTATCCAAGCCTGAGCGTGTTCCTCCAAAATTAGGCCAAGCACAGTAACTGCAAAAACTGCCATGTGGTTTGACCAGATGATCACAACTGTCTTCAGTCTTAATTATTTCCATGCAGGTGAGAAGAAGCAGTTTCCCTCACCAAAGGAAACAGCTTAGCCCTTTTAAAAGCAGTCTTAAGGCTTTCTGCTATGGGGAGCAGCCTGTAGAGAACCACCACCATAACCTCATGCTTCAGCCATTAACATACAAACACTAAGGCCTGAGCCTTTTGATCATCATTTTAGCTACCTCAAATCGTACTGCTGTGGGGACAAAAAAGCAGAATAACATGAACATTAAAGCTCAAAGATAAATCAACCCCACCAAAAGCTCAAAACTCAAGTTCCATGTTTCCCATAAGAAGAGTTGATAAGCAAAGATAAGTGACCAGCATCTGACTGACTGCACAGAAAGACTGAGCACAAGAGATTTTGGAAGTCTGAGACTCTGCACGCTAGAAAAAAGATGATATTCAAGAGTCCCCTAAAAATTGCTATGAGACATGAGGAATCTATCTTGTAGCTGGATTCTTTCCAAATCTATGGCTGGGCTCCTGCCTTGCCATGGCTGCGTGATTTAGCACATCATATCACATCAGCATCAAGGAGCACTCAGGTGTTCATTAAGGAAGGAATTGGCTTTAAGTCATGGCTCAGCAAGCCATGAATGCCATGTTTTGGTATCTAACCCTAATCTTTTTCATATTTCAGCTTTCTTTTTCATAAACAATAAAACCTCAAAAATTCAGTTTTGCTGACTGCTGTGCATCTCTGTTTTGCTCTTCCACCAGAAAAAAGCATTTGATGATATCCTCACCAACAAAGCACCCGAGCTACTGAAAGATTTGGATACTTTCTTAGGGGATAAGAAGTGGCTGGTAGGCAATTCTGTAAGTATAATTTTTGTTTCTCCCATTCCCATCAGGTTACCAGAAGAATCAAGTAACGGACTTTTGCTGAATTTCTGGGTTTCATGTCAGGCCATGAAGGAACTCTCCCCACACCTGAGCCCTTTATTCTTAACAATACAGAACTGGTCACTCAAATGCAAAGTGAAAATTGTTTTCCACAATATTAGAAGAGTGATGCAAACCAGGACTAGGATCTGCATTTTCTAAAGCAGAAAATGCATTTTCCTATGTATGTTAACACAAAACATTTTAAATGCCTTTGCACTTGTGAACACAAATTCATGACTACACAGAACCCTGTTTACCATCACAGACTAATTTATAAGGCAATACGAAAAAAAATCTCTATATGAACACAGTGCTCTTTTTACCCCAAACTCTTTTCTGCAGCACAGTTTCATCAGGAAAGACTAATATTGTAACACAAGTAATATTTGTAGCCAGGACTTGATTTGAACCAATATTTACAGAAGTCAAGCCTTGCATTGCAACCTAACTACTAGCCCTTTAATAATGGGCTTTAAAAAAACCCCAACCCCAAAATGAGACCTTAAACCAGATGAATTCACAGTTTTTTGAGAATATTAGTAGTCCTGGCTTTTGAGATTACCAACTAAAATTTACTGTTTTCTGTCCCATTTCCACTAGGTAACGTGGGCTGATTTCTACTGGGATGTGTGCAGTACAACACTTCTATCCTGTAAGCCTGACCTGGCAGACAAATACCCCAGGCTTTTGGCTCTCAGGGAGAGAGTGCAAGCACTGCCAGCTATTGCAGCCTGGATCCAGAAAAGGCCGAAGAGTCTAATGTAGATCAGCTGCTCAGAGAAACAAACGCTTGCTTGGTTTTCAATATGACAAGCATCCTAAGTTAGTAACTTCTAAATCATTTAAATTTACTTCAGATGGCTATGCTGTATGAAATCAAAATCTACCACTTGTATCCACATGCAAGAGAATCTAAAATACTGATTTAGTAGAGTAATAAATATTGATTCACAGAAGTGTGGTTTCAGTCACATTCCCCCTCTACAAACACAGTGCTCGATCAAACCAATTAATGTTTTGTGCACTCTCAACGGGAGAAAAGGTGAATGCATCTTCGTGGAGAGGTGCAGTCTCAACAACATTTTGACTATTGCAATCTTTCCATCTGGAGGAAAGCAAGTTAAAAGGAGAGGGCAAATGCATGGGACACTAAACAAAAAAAAAAAAAAAAAAAAAAAAAAAAAAGATGACCCACTTAGTCAATAAAATGCAAGGGTCTGCAAAAAGTGTTTGAGAAGCATGAGGTTTATGCTGTGCCCCTGAAAAAAACCAAACAAAAACCTCCAAAACAAGCCAAAAAGCAGTGGCACAGCTCAGCTCAGCTGGTGCCCACACCAGCACCAGTTCTCCATAAATACACCAGCTGCAAAAACATTTAACAGCTCAGTATCTATGCCAATAAGTAGGAGACACAAACTGGGGGTCAGTGGTGGCAAGCAGGTTTAGAACAAATGAAGGGTTTGCTCTTCCAGGACAGGAGAAAAGACAGGTGGAAATCCTGGCAATGTGGATGGCTGTGGATGAAAGTGGTTTACACAAACTCAAGGGGACACAAGTGCTTGTGAGAGGTCTCCATTGTGTGGTGTAAGCAGATAAACCACAACAAACTTGGACAACACTCCATGCTGGAAATCGCCACTGTTGGGAAAGTATTTCCCTTCACATTTACTTCCCCCTCCCACCTCAAGTATTATTTCCTTGAATCACGAGTGACTCCAAACAACCCCTCAGAGAGACAACTCAGGTATTGTCAGAACAGAAAGAAACAACCTTTACTCATTCCCATCTTCACCTGCTTTGCAACTCCTTGTGTGCTTTGGTCTGGCTCTTCATACATTTTTCCTTCTTTAGCTCCCAAAACTCGTCTCTTCTTCAGCAACTGACTTCAGGGAGTGGCTTTGTGTTCCTTCCCCTCTGTACATCTTTCCCAACCAGAAAAACAGAACCATAGAACAGCTGAAGGGACCTCTGGAGGTCACCTGGTCCAAGCCCCTGCTCACACAGGGCCACCTAGAGCCAGCTGCCCAGGACTGCATCCAGTTAGTTCTTGGCTATCTCCAAGGATGTGGCCCTGCAATCTCTTGAGACCCCCAGCTACAAACAGGAGAAACAGTTACAAGGAAGAAAGGCAGAAACACACGAGTTCCACAGCACCTAAAGACAGATACTGACCCCAGAGGTATCCACTGCTCCTCCAGACTCCATTAACTGATCCCATACACATCCAGAGCACCACACAGCCCACCCTGAAGGGCAGGGATCTTGTTTCAACCCACACTTCAACTAAGCAATGGGATAAGAGTTGGGTTAGCATCATGCTCAAGAGAAACACACAGCCTAGTTAGCTGTAGCATTAAATACCAGTGGTTCTCTGTTAAATCCCATTATTAAGCTCAGCAGAACCAGTGGAATTAAAGGAGCACAGAAAACTGATTCTTACCCATATCCCTTCTCAAACAACACAGTGCATCTTCACCTTGTTTCAGTTATGCATTTTGAAACAGACAGCACAGCTGCAGAACAATTCTAGGAAAAGCCAAGCAGTTTAGTCCACGTTTGGAAAAAGTTTTGGAAAAGCTTTAATTTCCCACCCATTCTGAATTTGCAGAAATCACGTACAAGTTGACCAGAATACCCACAGACTTGACCAAACCATTTGGCAGGAGTTCTGTTTTCACAATCAATATCCTCACACCACTGTAATTAGAGTATAATGACACACTGGTAATTAACTACTGCTGGACAAAGCCAAGTCAGTTCAATTGGAACATTCCAGCTGGTTTGAGAGCTGTCTAATTGATTTCTACAATGCACATTATCATCCCCTCACCTGCCCCAAATCACCACAACCATGAAAACATTTTGTCAGCCTATGGAATTTTATTGGAACAAGTTGATACAAAATCAGTACGGTACATCAAATGAACCAAAACAAGCAGAAAACAGACTCGAGCATTGTCAAATAAGGCACATATAAAAAAATCTACACGTGGAATCCAGTGAAACAGACAGTTTATATATATATATATATATTTGGAGGTAGAAATAATTACAAAAATACTGACAAATCTTAAGCAGTAGCAGATTTGTTAAAACAATTACTACTTAGGTCCCCATTTTCAAAAGTGATCTGTAACACCTTTATTCAGCATCTGAGGTTGGCACTTTTGGGCCATTTATGCTTTTTAAGCATTAAAAGAATGTTATTGGTGTTAAAATTTTTCAATACCATGAGCAATACAATAAAGAAATTACAAAAAGTTATAAACGTTCATAAAACTCCTGGTCAACAGTAATGTAAGAGTCCTTGGGGTATTTCATCACATTTCTTCCTTGAATTTCACAACATATTTACATTTTAGAGACCCAATGAAGCTTTTAATAATGTGGCTATATCTGCTGGAATGGTTCCTTCTTCTCCTGAGGAATAAAGAGAAGCATTAGTACAGCTTAAAATATTTTGCATAAACAGATAAAAGCCTATGTCCCCAAAACAGTAAAAAAATCCTCTGCTTGTAGGACTTGGTCACTGATTTCTGGGTCAGACTCAGGGCACCTCCTGTTAAATCGAAGAACAACCAGCAAAAATACTGAATTTCTAGTTCAACATAAAAAACCCCCAAACAACAAAAGGCTTGTCTGCATGAAGAACATTATTTTTTCCGACTAACATATTTCAGCTTTAATTTACTTGAGTGGACATCATTATGTGCAAGACACCTACCTGATTCTGCTGCCGTCATATCTTGTTCTAACTTCAATTTCTGTTGGCTGATTTTGAGCATGGTTTCTTCAATAGTCCCCTTACTGATGAGCTTTATGACTTGTACTTCTCTGAAAATAACAAAAAAATCCATTTGCCTGTTTGGATTAGTGCAAAAGGGAAGGATGCTATGCCTGCCTGGGGTTTCAAGCAAGGATGGGGTAATGAATGAGACTGTAATATAAAGAGCTTCTAGATTTTTCTCTGGAACAACTATGGTCTGTATTGCCAGAAAACATGTTTTCTCCTTCACTCCCAGCCACTGCAAGTATCTGGACAGTCACCAAAATCTCCATTAATATAAACTAGTCCAATTCCCCCTAATTCCCTTTTACCGTTTAATACAGTTGAAATTGCACACATTCTATTTTTTCACTCTTTAGGACAGGGTGACACTTAAAAGCTTAGAAGTCTCCTGAAGAGAACAAACAGCTTGGCCAGACAGTCCTAAAGACTTCAGATCTACCTTGGAATAGTTCCCAGCACCAGAAATTTGAGATTTATGCACAATTTGAGAGTTATACTGAACTAGGAAAAGGAGGAAAGTGTAAATAAAGGTTTGTTCTGCCAGCAACATGGACTAAGACAATTACAGGTCCTAGCTCCCACACAACCCAGAGCTGCTCTATACAAGTCTCTGCTTAAAACTTTCAATCATAAATACTGTCCTTTTAGCCTCCTTTGTGAGCTTTCCTCCAAGGAAACCCAAGCACTGTAATTTTAATAAGTCTTACCGTGTCTGCCCCACTCTGTGGCACCGGTCTTCGGCCTGCTTATCATTGTAAGGGTTGCAGTCAATGTCATGAAGGATCACAACATTGGCTGAGGTCAGATTAATGCCCAAGCCACCAGCTTTGGTGGACAGAAGGAATACAAATATACCCATGTCTGTATTGAACTCATCTATCAGATGTATCCTGCAGAACACAAGACACCATGCATCAGGCCTTGGAAAACACTCCACACTGGCTCCAGAGCTGAACACAGAAGTTGGGAGGATCTTTTGGAAGAGAG